GGTCGTGAATGTGCACTATTGAGAAGTCCCATATTAGCACGAAACAGTCGTCCAGTGTTTTCAGGTTCTCAATCGTGGTCTAACTGAGATCAGTTCGTGATTTCAATAAAATTCAACAATATTTACAAACTCCATACAAATATATATATGACTATCATATCAAGGAAATAGTACTGTCACCACAATCACTCATGAATACTGTTAAAGGTAATCTTATTCGCCAGTACTGTTCATACATTTTATAATCCTGTTTTTATGTAGGAGCGTTTAGTAAATATGAATTGCATAATGTGTTTCGTGAATCTGTATTATTCTAGAGTTCAATGGTTGGCCAATGATATACACTCTCAACATATGAACGCTAGGACTATTCGGATTATAAGAAAGAAAATCGATTACAAAAACATAGATAGTTTGGTTCAGGGAGTGAAAAATTTTTTTTTATTATTTTGCATATATTTTTATTAACCGTTCAAAACCATTTCGTCTTCAATTTTTCGGATTTTACTAGTACTACTGTAACAGTAGTGGAACAGTGGCTTAAAGTGTTCGGAATCCGGCCGCTAGGCCCCAGGTTTGAACCCCGTTTTTCCCTCTTCGGCCAAGGCAACCGGGTAGTATCAGTGACCCTCACACAGTGTGGCTCATATCTAAGTACATGGTGAATGAGTTAGTTTGTATATTGTTTTCGTATTGCTACAGTTATTAGCAATTTTGCATCTGAACTGCTGGATTTATCTTCATAATGTTTTTTTGAGAATTATAACAATTGAGAACCATACGATATAAAATTAAGCCTTATTTAATTATTGTTTATTTGTCGCCCTGACTGCTTACTGTTTTGTCAGATTAATAATCTAAAAACACAATTTAAAAAAAGGTTCTTTTCTTCGAGCTTTAAGGTTCGGTCTTGGAGCTTTCACCGTTCTTCTGAACGATATCATCAGCACAAACTTCAGGTTTATCAACAATGTAATTGCCAGTTACACATATCAAGCAGCTTTTCACAATATCATTTGGTCCATCTAATTGAGTTAAGTAAAATGGTTTCGAATTAGTATTCTAATGTAAACTATGTCACCAAATATGAGCTTCACATACATACAAATCAACACATGGAGGTAACTCCTACTACGAACAGACATCAACTGAAAAAGTATTGTAAACGAAGAAGCAGTGAATATGTATTTTTTCTTCGTACTAGTTCGAGATCAGGACCTACAGGTGTACCACAACAGCACAATACATTTTAGCTCCTGGATCTAAATTAGATGATTCATATCTTTAACTTCTGTCAACTAGACGTATAATGCATAATTTTTATATGATATCACCCATTGATTATCAATGAAATTCCGATGTGATTGAATCCACTACAGCTTTTCGAGAAGACAAACAGAAACATTTAGCTTACTACGGAGTATTTTAAAACTTGGTCTCTTGATATAAATTTCAATAAATCAAGAACAATAACATTTAGAAAATGCTATGGAATATGTATTCGAATGAAATCAGTTGTCAGTCACTCTTAGCCCTGAGTAACATAACTCATATTCGACACCATATTATCTTTCCATTTTATAACCGACTTAGCTTAAGTCAATACGTATATTATACTTATGTATTACTAACTGGTACTTATTTTTGAATTGTATAATCATTTAATCTAAACTCCATGATCTACTGTTTCTATTATAATCGATATCTCAGACTTCTCAATTTTGCATGTGATATTCATTTGTAATATCTTGTTCAATCGTTTTAAATTTAATTAGATTATTCTAATTTTTGTTACACTATGTCAATACGTGTCTATATTAATTTATGACCAACGATATTGTTAAACTACATTTTTGACTTTTTAATATTTAGCAAGTGTAAGCAGCTAACGAGAAGTTAATGAAATACCAATGAATTTATCATAATTTATTTTTTTGTACTCAGTTCATCACTATCCTTGATTATAACAAATTATTAAATCAGTTATAAAATGATCAAGTGAAATTATAGCAATTAGTTAGTAGTAACATAAATTTTACTTTCTAAAATGAAATCTTTCTGAGGATATTGTTAATAATATTATAAACGGATCAATGAGAATCAATCATTTTGATTTGACCATCAAAATTAATTTAAGGAAATAAAACAATTTTGAACTAATACATTATAACATAAATATTAGATTAACTTTTCATTTACTGAATATCTCGACAAAAATAACTAAAGACAAGATAAGAGAGAGAAAAATATTTTTTTTTACGAATTTGTTAGACATGCAAAAAAGACACCATTAATCAACTATATGATCGTTCATTTATCATTATTAGGGGAAATTAACACCAAAATTATGATGTATTACAATAAAATGAAATAGAATAGGTCAATACCTTTATTTCTATGAAAAACTGTCACCTTATAAAACTTAAAATGAAAGTCATCCAATTCAGAAATAGGTTTTTTCGTAAAATAAAATTGAAAAAAAACGGAAACTGTGAAATAATTAGCGATTTAAAATTATTATCAGTATAATGTTGTGGAGATTGTTGAATCTTTTTTTGAGATCGTGAACTGACCAATATTAGACCACCATTGAGAAACTTGGAAGTACTGAAGATCTGTTTTGTGCTAGTACGGGACTTCTAAATAGTGCACATCTACGACTCCGTAATTCTGAGGAGTTCCATACTAGGACAAAACAGATGTCCAATGCTTCCAGGTTTTCAATGGTGGTCAAACATTGATCGATTCATGATTTCAATAAGAAAATTATTGATTAAGTAAACATTTATAAGGATAATTGTTTAATAAATGAAAAATATTATGTATAATAAAAAACTGAATTAATCATGGTTTTCCTTCAATGCACTCTAATCAAAGCTACAACTCTAATAAATATCGTTAGGAGTTAGCTTACATGTGTATAATACATACAATAGCTTAACATATGTACTTTATCTAATTTACACAATGATTTTGTCATATTAGCTAATTGAAATTCAATTGTAAATATAAACGAACATGAAATCTCTTTTCATTTATTTATAATCATTAATCTAGTCAATTTTTATGCATGTTGCAAGTAGAAAAGTTCAGGCATGACATAATAAGCTTGTTGTATTTCCAATGTACAATTAATGGTGATAAATTATAAAGAAAATGATCGATAACTTAACAGATGAAAAACCATAAACTAGAGTGGAATATCGCAATTAACTTAAACAATGAGATTTATACAAACATAATTGTTTATTGGAAATGAAAAAGAAATTGGGACTCTTTTTTAAAGTGAATTTTCAAATTAAGTTTGGTGTATATTTTCAGTAGTAAAGAGAGTAAACATTAAAACACTAAAAATGAGTTGAAATTTGGCGAATGATTGTTTGAGAATCTTAGATTTAAGTTTTTTGGTAGACTCAAACATGTTTTATGAATGTTATCTAAGTGGCTTTACCGCTGCGTACTCCGTCTACCGACACTAGGACTTAGTGGAAATGAGAGACGTAGTAAACTTACAGTATAGAGATGTGGAGTCAAAGGTAACTGTATAGAACTAACATATATTTGTCCATCGAGACTCTCTGGTTAGGATCTAAGATATCATGAAATTCTGTAGTTTAAGGCATTATCAGAAGAGATTCAAAACAAAAGCCAGTGAGAATCTTAATCTACATTCTTCATAAATATAAGCCTCTTAACTAAAAGAAATTCGTCTCGGTTGTATTTTCAATTGAACCGTATCTTTGACTAAATACTATGATTTATTAATGATTGATTATACGAATTTTCTCTCTTTTCTCTTTACAATGTTATCATACCAGTTTGTTTGTAAGATTTTTCTTGTGTTCTGTTCTACCAAGATTTTCCACGTTGTAAATAAATAAAAACAACAGAATTCTGACTGAATTCCAAAAGAAGCATATTTTTCTTAATTTACAAATGCATCTGGTTAACTAATATCTAATACTGTGAAACATAAAACTAAACGGAAAAATTAAGAGATAATTTCAGTATGGGGTTGTGGAGATAGTTGAAATTTCATCGATGGATGCCGGATCAGTGGTCTATAGGTTGGGTATTCGCGCACGAAACCGAAGGTCCCAGGTTTGATTCTCAGTAATGAGGTCGTGAATGTGCACTATTGAGAAGTCCCATATTAGCACGAAACAGTCGTCCAGTGTTTTCAGGTTCTCAATCGTGGTCTAACTGAGATCAGTTCGTGATTTCAATAAAATTCAACAATATTTACAAACTCCATACAAATATATATATATGACTATCATATCAAGGAAATAGTACTGTCACCACAATCACTCATGAATACTGTTAAAGGTAATCTTATTCGCCAGTACTGTTCATACATTTTATAATCCTGTTTTTATGTAGGAGCGTTTACCAAAAATATGAGTCCCATACTACGATGAAACGACCTTCCAGTGCTTACATTTTTTAATGGTGTTCAAAATGAGATCGGTTCATAATTTCAATGAAGTTAAACGATATATTGAAAGTACTAAATATTGAATAGAATAGTCGTTTCGAATTCGTGTACGAAGATTGACATTATGTAAATTTTCAGCCCAAGATCATTTAGGTAGTGTTATATTTCCTGAGCTAGATGGTCTAATTCCTGGGTTTATATTGTTAGTTTAGACGACATCATTATTGCCTTCCGCATGAATTAGTCGCTGATGATGTTGTCGAAAAAGACAGTGAAAACTCTGCAATCGAATCACTTACTTCACAGAACACAACAGCATCAAGTCAGTCATGATCTACGTAGAGCCTGGGTCAAATGTACAGTAGCCAAAGTTGCCATACCACATTAGTGTGACAAGAAAAAATTATGAAGATGATGAACAACACCGTCGAACGATGAAAAAGCTACTACTTGATCAACGTGTACTTTATTAACAGACGTTTCATAAACAAATGCAAACTTTATTATTGTAGTAACTAAATAACCAGTTATATGAATCATTACTTAAATGATAAAAACTCACTAGTTTGGGTTAAATAGGTTAGATTCATACAACAAAGATGAATGACTTGGTGATACTGTCACTGTTGTAGTACATGTTGTTGTAACTTGTGGAACTGAATTCGTTAAGGATAAAGAACTTGGGACCAAGTTTGCTTCACATATCGTTTTACTCACTGTGCATAATGATGGGACAATTATTGGTGATCGTCTGTTACAGTAGTCTTTCTCATATGGAACTGATGTAATATTATTGGAAGTGTCAATGCCACTGTTCGAAGGATGAATATTGTTAACATGGATAGTAGAAGTATGAGAAAGTGGAGGAGGAGTAATACTACTGTATAGCTCACTGTCAACAGATTTTGAATACATCACAGAGTTAGATGAAAGTAAACATTTTATATTATCCATTTTAGAATCATTATTGTTATTATTACTATTGCTGGAATTCGGTGTTGTTACAACACAGTAGGATGAACGTCCACGTCGACTACGTCCACCTCTCATTCTATCTTCACGAACAGCTACAAAATTAAAAGGAGAATTAGAATAGGAGTGATTACGAGAACAAATAGTAATAATATTAGTAGTATAGGTAGTAGCAACAACAGCAGTACCATGAACATTGTCAACAAGATTAGTGTGATTATTATAAACTAAATGTGAAGAAAATAATGGAACTATATAACAAGGTGATAATGAATTTAATGATGCAGCATTAGGTTGATTCTGTAGATGAGAAATATTATTGAAGAACTTATGTTGACTAGTATTTTTACTGTAAAATATTACATGATTCTCACAATGATTAGAATTCCACAAAGCTTTACATTTATCGTTATGATTATTATTACTATCTACATATACTAATTTTTCTACTGATTATGATGAAATTTACTGTTGTCATCATCATCATCATTCTCGTCAGTATTGAGAATACAAGATCGTAAAGATTTATAAACATTGTTAGGGTATAACATTATGAGGAAGAAGATAGTATTAATGATGTGTTAACACATGGATTAAAGCTAATTACTACAGAAAGAAATGGAATATAATGAATTTGAAAGGTATATTATACCGATTGGTTGCATAATGTTTCACCTATTTATGCAGACATACACGTGTATATGAAATCATTTTTTATTAGTGTGAATAATTTTTTTTTCTTTGTACGTGAATAAGAGAGAAACGTTGATGAACAAAATTCATAAGGGATGAAAAATTGTCTGTCTACTCATATATAAACTCGTTCATTATACACGTTCATCTATTTTTATTTTGTCACCTATAGTATAATGAATTCCCTGTTTAAAAAAAACACAAATGCTTTCCACATTGTCACTTGACTAAAACAAGAACCACTACCATTATTAGTATACAACCGTTTGATTGATCGATTTGAAAATTTACTCTAATTTGTTTGATCCTGAACGTGAATGAGTATATATCTGGTCATACTTGTACGCATTCATAAATATGACCTGATTTATTAATAAATTACCTACAACTTATCTTAGTCAATTACAATGGAGTTGATCGGTTTTTATTTATTGTATAGGAAGAACAAATAAACCAACGTGCCGCGATGTGATTCTAGTGTCAAATGGAAAAAGTTCTTTTTCGGTTCTAAAAGGTATACGTTCACTTAAAAAGAAAACATGACATACATTCTGAAACTCGTTACAAAATAAACATATCAAACAGATCCGCTCAAGAAGTATATATTCCAACAAAGACTGGTCAAAATTCGGTCGCAAAACAACGTGTTAATACGAATCCTAGCAAATAGATATTATACCGATTGAATATGTTAATGACTGTTTAAACTCTGTACCTCAGCGGATAATGCGTTGGCTAACAGTGATAAATACAGGGTACAAATCTCAGTCGATACTGTGATCAAGGTATATACAACTAACAAGCTGCAGATAGAACGAGAAGCGCTAGTCACAATCCATATACTCTGAAACTTGAAAAAGTATCCTTGGTGCTTGGAAGAGTCAACCACATGTGACGCAGAATCTGGCAAATATACATCAGTTCAAGTTTCCATACCACATTAGCACAACGAGATGAAATCTTTAAGAAAAATCCCAGAGTAGTAGAATTAGTAACAGTATCTGCAATAATCGAGACGATTAAGTATAAGAAGAAGGAAAGTGTGCGAGATTTCGCGATTCAGAATCTAGTGGAAAACAAAGAGTGGATACATCTCCGTCATTACGATCGATTGTGATCCATGTCAACCTACGTTTCTAACTACTGGCGACGATAATCGCGCGGACTCTAATCAAATAGTCTGTAAGCATCTACCTGGTATTGTTTGAAAGAAATTTAGTTAGAAGCTTGATGTTTGTGCTCATAAGCGAACATTCTTAATCACTTTGGATTTAGGGAATTACATCTATGTATACCCATGAAAAATCCTAGCAATTAAGGTAGAAGGATAAGAAGGGGCGTTTAAATTTCTGGGCTAACTATTTTCCAACTCCGTAAATATTACAAAAATTTATATCGTTTTTTGATTGCTTTTGATCAACCGACTATTTATGTTAACCCTCTAATGTATTTAGGGGCTTTAATAAAATGTCTGCAGACTATCGCAAAGATAAATACTAGTAAATTCAGATGAGACCACCGTGGTAGTCGGTGTACTTTCTTCGTCTTACGCTTTTAGAAAAAATCAGGAAACAATCGCACTGGAATTCATGTATCAGATATATTAAACGGTGAAAAGACATGTTATAGAACAAAAACTGATCGAAAACATTTGTGGGTGATGAGTGTCAACTAATCACTGTTGAGAAACTTTCTTAAATAAAATATTTGAAATATTAGTATATGAGACGGCTATAAAATGGAACATTCCTGAAATATTATACATCTGTGACGGAAATCCTTCACTGCCATCAAGTACATGGAATTGAATAACAAGGTTATGCACATAAATGTAGCTTTACCCTATTCGAGTACGTAATCCATTGTCGAATAAGTAGTACAAAATTAAGATCATCAGAATGGGAAAAAATACAAGAGATGAGACTAAAAAAGACCATGAAAGTTATAAATAACGGTATCTTGCACAGTTATCTATTCATTTTACAAATAAATGATGTTTACGCCCTATAAAACGGGAGCATAATCACGAATTTTTCTACCTTTAAATTATATATATACTAGATAGATAGATAGTTCCAAGTTGATAAAAACAAATTGAGTTTTATTTACCAAATATAAAAAACGGTCTTCATGAGCTTTTAGTACTTGTGTAATACAGTTTTATGGATACCAAGTTAAAAGGAAGACAGTATACATGGTTCGCACCAAAACATTAGTAAACTAATGAAAACAGACAATTAGAAAACTCCTGCATGTACGTGTACAATGAAAGTAGCATTAATGACAACAGACTAAACTAGGACATCGAATTTCGACTCTAACCAACTTCATATATCTCAGCATACTGAGTCTAATATCAAGTTTCACTTTCAAGCAATAACCCAGAGTAAGCAAACAAAAGTGCAACTCAATAAATATATTATTACTGAATTGCATAGGGAATTTTGTAAACTAATACATAAAGGACTGGGACGGTAAAACAAAATCCAATGACACAACTAAGATATAGATTTCATTACGGCATTAGAAATATAGTTACATAAGTTAAGCATATGGTACAGGAAGAAAGAATTAGATCGTAGAAATAAAAGTCTAAAGCAATTTTAATCTCACGGTTTAATTGCAAACAAAGATTGAATACAAAAACGTCATTGTGATCGATTATGTGCCATGTCACCCACAGTCTCCAACTATTGGTTACGATAGTCACATGGACCTCAACCAAATAGTCTGCATCTACCGACATTGACCAGAACAGAAGTTAGTGACTTCAACGACTGACGTCACGTTTTGGTTTGGCCGCCCTAATGTTCTTCCAACCATCTCCAACACTGGTCAGCATTGCTCGTCGTGGTAATCGGTGTTCAGACGTACGTAACACGTGGCCCAACTATTTCAGTCGATGACGATTTACAACTTCATCAACTGATTTACCATCATTCCATAATACCTTGCGTCTAACCTCACTATTACTTACCCGGTGATCCCAGTAGATGCGAGCAATATTTCTAAGGCATCTGTGGTCAAATACTTGTAGCTTACGAGTACCTTCTACTGTTAATGGCCACGTTTTGCAGCCGTAAAGTAGAACAGTACGAACTGCTGCGCAGAAATAAACAAATGAATCTTCCTTTGATTATATCAGGGGTATATCTCGTTTTAACCAACACTGCTGTCATGATTAAAAAAGTAAAACCTAGTCTAATGTACTTATTGATCTTCAATTCTTCACCTTAATTCGACTTTAGCAATTGAGCAGTATCAACAGATAGTAAGAACACGAGTACGTATACCTGTGAATGATTAGTGAACTGAAAAAATTACAACCCGTATCAGTGCCGCTTTTTAAATACTAGTTCCTGATATCCTGTGGATCAAACTATCAGTCAGTCAGTAACAACGTAGAACTTCGTAACAGCACAAGAGACCAAGGATCAAACTATCAAGTCTACACGTGCGCATAATAATTCAAAGATGTCGATAACTCGATAGATTGATGTTATATTTAATCAAATTTAGGCGGCCTTAATTCTTTTTGAGGCTTCGACTACAATCCTACATTGATCAGACACCACTACATGCATAAATTAATGTATGCTGCGTAACTGAAAAGCAAACGATGAAAGCAAATCGATTAAATGAACAATCAACCGGAAACAAAACACAAAGAAGACTCACCTTCTACCCGCATACCAACAATTAAGCACTTCTGAAATCGGCAAGAAGCACATCTTTTCCTATGTAATCTATCAACAACACAATTTCCTTGTTCATTACAATGATATTCTTTCTTGTTTTGCACAGTACGTTTGAAAAATCCTTAATTTTATGAAAAAAGAGGAAAAATCAAAAATTTATTAGGAATTATACTATTTACCTTTACAAGATTCACATGTAGGAAGGCCATAGTGATAACCAGATACCTTGTCTCCACATATAGGACAATTTTCACAATGAAAAAGGGACGATGATGATGATGATAATAATGAAAGGTCCGTTATACTTGAAGGAAATGAGGTAGCCTTACTGTTTAAATTTAGTATGCAATTGCTATTATTGTTATTGCTAATTGGACTGTTATGATGTATGCTATTTAAAAGTTCCTGAGTTCCACGTTCAGATGAATTGATACACAAAGAATCACTTGTAAGATTATTAGTTGAAGATGTAGTAAACATTTTTTGCACTATAAAAATTGATAACTTGACGAAAATAATTTGAATAAAAATATAAAGTATGGTCATGAAATCCCATTGAGCATGTTAATTGATTGTAGAAAGCAAAGAAAAATGTGGATCAATAACCATTTCATGCAATATTTAAGTCATGAACATGAAGTGTAAAAATAAAATAAAAATCACACCACAAATCCCTGAGATAAGATTATTTTACGACTAGACCTGTAATAAAAAGAAGAGAGCAACGAATAATCAGTCATCAAAATATGAACGTAAATAAAAGAAATAACACTATTTGTAAGAATAGACTATGATAACATGAGTAAAAAGCATCCGAAAAATAATAAATAATTGTTAGAGGACTCTCCAGGTGGAAATTAGAGTTCACACTAGTCTACACCACACTGGATTTCCAGGTCCTAATTTTTATATCACAATTTTCTTCAGCTTTCTTTACTTCCTACTATCTTGTCGATATTTTTTATTGTAACAATAGAGTATGCGGTAGCTCGAGCTTATACATTGGTGTATCAAGTTGCACATTATTTCGGTCAGTTACGAAAGAATAAGTGTAACACATAGTGTGTGCGGTATAAGTTCTGAAAGTATTTTTTCGGAGTTTGTTACTTACAATCAAAGAATACTGGTTTTATTAAAACCGAATCTATGGATTTTGCAAAACACTTAACAAAACTCGACACTTTCATGACCTGAAAACATTTTATTTCCCAAAACACTAATTCCATTATTGCGACAAACTTGATGATAAGCTGCCAAGCGTTTCGATAATAATTGGCCCTAGTGCTAATACGTTTTGCTATCTTGACATACTTCGATTGATTAGCATACTCAATTTTGACTATTGTCGATTAAAATAAGTTGATGAAATATGAAATCTTTATCCACTGAGGTGGTTAGGATGTACTGCGTATGCTCAACTAATCACTATCTCGATGGGGGATGTTTATTGGTGTAGGAGTAGATTGAAAGAAAGCTCGAGGTAACCAAACCATGACATCAGTTCATGAAATTAGTGACAATCGAACTGAGCCGTGTAGCTACTTGGAGTCCGCACGATTATCGTCGCCAGTAGTTAGAAACGTAGGTTGACATGGATCACAATCGATCGTAATGACGGAGATGTATCCACTCTTTGTTTTCCACTAGATTCTGAATCGCGAAATCTCGCACACTTTCCTTCTTCTTATACTTAATCGTCTCGATTATTGCAGATACTGTTACTAATTCTACTACTCTGGGATTTTTCTTAAAGATTTCATCTCGTTGTGCTAATGTGGTATGGAAAATTGGACCGATGTACATGTTTTAAATTCTACGTTGTATATGATTGCCTACAGATAAGTATTCTACAGTTTATGGTTGAATAATAAGAAACAAAAACGGCCGGCGACTAATGCCCCATTTAGAAGTGTTTATTCCAATAGTTTAATGTTTTTAGAACTAGTGGCCTATTGAACGTCTTCGATTCTACAAACGCGTTCATTTCACTAAAGATTGACACTAAACTATTCATCTATCCATAAATGAATATCAAAGTTGCAACAGAAATAATTATTTATTAATTAAAACAAAACTTGACTGTTATTACTCAGTTGCTTAAAATTAAATGATTGGCAATATATTGTTAATTTGCAAGGAGAGATACCACAAAACTTATCAGTCAATCAATTCAACGATAGTATGCACCGGTTACAAATGTTAAACCAAGGAATGTATTATAGGTGAGGGAGCCTCGAAAAAACGATTAACCTGGTATGGTGTTGGCGAGAGCAGACAGTATGCTTATCTTTGCCAATAAACTTGGTAAAAATCGATAAACCTTTAATAAGCTCACTTTAGAATGATATATCTATTGAGATCAAAGTGTACGAAATTAGTTTATTGGTTTATTTATTTAAACACATAAACATTGGTACAAGGAGGCACCAAATAGATATGCGCCACATAAATCATTTGATTTGTGTGAGGGCTGTGATACTGCCCGGGTGCCTAGACCGAAGAAGGTGGTTTTCTTAGGGGGCCACACCTCGAGCCCTTGACCTTAAGGTCTGACCCACAAGGCAGTGGAGCACCGTGAGATGCCGTCCCATGGTAGCTGAGGACCAACGATTGCTTCATACGCCATTTGTTCCCGCAGGATACTGGAGCCCATGTGCACCACTGGTTTGGAATCCGGTTAAGGCGCCGGACATTCGCTTTTCGACCTATCAATTTCGTAAACAACACTCCCGCCACGAGAAGTAAGTGAGTAGGACTTCCCTGGCAGAGGCTATATACACGTGGCCGTGTGAGAGCATTTCGAGAGGGAGGGCGGGCCCACCCCACTCTCGGCCATACCAGGGCATTTGGAGGCCACGTCACTGTTACAGAATCGTTTCAAAGTTTAACCTAGGGATTTAAGTGGGAGCTAATTACGATGGTTCGAACAGACCAGTAGTCAACTGCTTCGTCAATAATAACACGAGTTTAATTGTTACCTTAGGTGGTGTCTGGCAAGTCTGTCCAATATCTCCATTTTCGTTCAATTTCAACATAGATCTACTACTAAACATAAAGTTCTCGTCCACTGAAATCTCGGGCATTGATCTCCTACCATTAGGCCCACTTTTCGACTTAGAATACGCAGATGACATACTCCTGTTGGGTGAAAACGCTGATAAAATGCAAAGTCTTTCGATAGCACAGAGCGACAATGCCAGAATGTTTGGGAGTCATTTATCCCCCTCTGAATGCAAATTGTTGATTCAGGATTGGCCTGCGTCAACACGAAGTAAAGATAGGGAGTGAAGTAGTCGAATGAGTCGACAACTTCACTTATCTTCAAAGTCTGGTCAACCCTAATGGGTTAGTGTCTGACGAAATCTAAGCTCGTTTGGCTTTCGCTAACCTACATCACCTATGGTGAAAATGAGATATCCGTCTATCAATTAACGGACCAGCATGCTGTGCGGCAGTTCGTACTGTTCTACTTTACGGCTGCGAAACGTGGCCATTAACAGTAGAAGGTACTCGTAAGCTACAAGTATTTGGCCACAGATGCCTTAGAAATATTGCTCGCATCTACTGGGATCACCGGGTAAGTAATAGTGAGGTTAGACGCAAGGTATTATGGAATGATGGTAAATCAGTTGATGAAGTTGTAAATCGTCATCGACTGAAATAGTTGGGCCACGTGTTACGTACGTCTGAACACCGATTACCACGACGAGCAATGCTGACCAGTGTTGGAGATGGTTGGAAGAACATTAGGGCGGCCAAACCAAAACGTGACGTCAGTCGTTGAAGTCACTAACTTCTGTTCTGGTCAATGTCGGTAGATGCAGACTATTTGGTTGAGGTCCATGTGACTATCGTAACCAATAGTTGGAGACTGTGGGTGACATGGCACATAATCGATCACAATGACGTTTTTGTATTCAATCTTTGTTTGCAATTAAACCGTGAGATTAAAATTGCTTTAGACTTTTATTTCTACGATCTAATTCTTTCTTCCTGTACCATATGCTTATACACAATCTTTCTTTTATATATTACTGCTATTGAAGTAACTAGTTCTATGAATTTGGTGTTCATCTTGTTGTACTAATGAGGTATGTCAACTTGGACCGATGCACATATGTGCCTGGTCCTACGTTGCAGCCGAATAACTTAGTGCTTAAAAATAACAGTGGAGCTTAACGGGGTGGATGAATGGTGGAATATATGAAACAGTAACTGCTGTAAAGGTAAAACAACTCTTCAGCGGTCATGGTGTTACATTCACGAAAGAAACTTTTTCAGGGATTTTGCTTGATGAATAGCTATATATATATACCACCTGTATAGCATCAAAAGTAGAGGAAATCTGATTATATTCACACGGAGTAACTTACTCTTGAAAATTATATTAAACCTAAGCTATTACTTTATTCTGTTCTCTGTTGAAAATATGATAATAGTTCCCACTAGTCCTTCCTGCTCTACAACCATAAATTACGATTTTAGTTGACTAAATATCATTCTTGGCGTACTGAAAACACTAGACGACTGGATGTTCGAGTTTTCAGCATCCAAATCCCATAAAGTGAAAATCCTAGTATTACACTCCGGAACATACATAGGATTCAAACGTGCTTATACAAGAAATATCATGAGTAAGATTCACACTGCAGGTCCTCAAGGATTTAGTTAGTAGGCGACACGGGCTTGGATTTGTCGAGATCGCATCAATAGTACTAGAAAAAGGAACTGGAATAGAATCATATACTAATCTTTCTCTCTAAAATCAAAATGTTTTTCGTGACTCGCCAGTCAAGAAGTCTGATGAGTGATGAACTTTGGAGAAAATACAAACACTTCATTCCACCTCGGTGAGTAGTGTAAGGGGTTGTGGCAACTTCCATCAAAGATGATAACAATGAGTGACATCAGTTAAATATTTAGGGTAACTCCTTATTTGTTGGAATGCTCAGTTTAGGTTGGGCAGCTGTATAATATCCAGTCTGTGCAGCAAACAGGGCTCAGTCTGGTACATATACCTACCTGTATTCAGATACTGAGCTAGATCATTATTATAGAAGTATTATTTTAAGGATGTTTAGCAGGTCTTATAACTGTTATCTTTCACGGAACCACGTTGGGAGCTATTTCCTTACTTGTAGACAATTGTCCCCGGATGAACTTATCGGCTCAGCTTCATAAGAGAGAATGAACATGCATAATACATAAAATTGACCAAACAAGATATTTCGTCCCTCACGCGACACATTTCGCAACGTGACTGATAATAACCACGTAAAGTACGATTTGTCTTACATTAGTATTTATAAGAACCAATCTAATCTACAAAATGTTGTTCCTGTATATCTTTGAATTGCAGATGCATCAACTGTAAACAATATAAAAGCAGATCTACAGATACCTAAAGTGTATGATTTTATTCATTACAAGCCCCTTCTGTTGGATTTCATATATTTCTAACGCTGATATATATATATACATATATATATATATATATATATATATATATATATATATATATATATATAATCCGTAATACGCACTCTTATCTTCTACTTTGCTCTTACAAGTTCATTCATTATGCATAAGAAGTTAATACAAAAAATTTCCATTACAATTATTACCTTATGTAAAGACAACTTTATTTTATTTGTTAAAAGATTTGTGAGTGCACAATAATCTGACGCTTGCCAAGTCTGGGCTTGTGTTCTGCTTATAGTCATACTTTGAGAAGTCTAGTGATACTAGTCAGATGCCCGATATATAGCGCAGCGGGGTCCCGACCTTCGAACTACTGCAGGAAAGCGTGGTGCATTAGTTAAGCAATTTATAGTAGTCTGTGCTTTTGTTCTTCGATTAATTTCGATCGGTATGAACTGATGGTTGTATACTATACAAATGTTTGAATCTGAACAACTACTAATAACTTGTTTAATGTAACTTAGTAACTAGGTAAACGTAATCAGCTTTGAAATCAGTGGCGCAGTAGCTATGGCGTTTAACTTTTGGTAACTAAGCATCAGGTTTAAACACTATGTGATTCGACTTGGATAACCATGTAGTTTCCTTATCTCTCACACTAAGGAATGCGGCTCAGAACCCAATACACGAATTTATATATGGTAACGAAAAATCAACTGCAGACTCTCTAAATACCCAGTTGATCAAACAGAAAACGGTAAAGCAAGATTCAAAACAAACAAAAGAACGAAATGTAATAATAAGACCTCCAAAACACCGCTGCACGATTCGCATAATGCAGAATGTACATTTTGTAAGTGAAAGTGACAAATGCATTGATACGGACATCGAACTTGAGAACGATACTAAGTGCTGGGAAGTACATACTGGAACTTCCAGTAAAAGCATATATAAACACTGAAACAGTCCAATAACTTTAACATGTAAACACACTACTACTTTGCTATTCGTTATTTTTCCTGAAGTTTATATAAGTCACTGACTGAAGCAGTATACGACACCCTTATTTGCACTACCAACACACTAACAGACCAGCTTCAGCGATTTATAGTTTCTAGCAACAATAATTAATCTGTCTTTAAAGCAGGCGTGTTAGGCGAAATGTGGTGATATTTGACAGTGAATAGCCGGAAGTCATTTTCCGGAACTTCGTAGCCGTTCTGAGTTTTTCTTTAAGTAACTCACGAGACATAAGTGGCTTTGCACTCCGGATAGGAAGAAGCCACTGCATTATGGTATTCAATGCCCATTTTGAGATTATGCGCCTATCAACGGTACAATTAAGATCGTATATAGCATACAGTTCTGCATACAATTCACGGTAATTCAGTCGAACGAATATCTACCATTAAGTCTTGTTTGGTGGTTTTCTAAGTTCTTTACTTGACTCTGGGTTCAGACAAATTTTGTTCATAATATTGAAAGTAAGCTCAGTAGTATGTATGTTGTGAGGGGAATCCCAAGTTAACAAAGTTCATGCTAATAAACCCAACGCGTCAAAAACCAGTATTGTTACGAGTTATTATAAAAGAAAGGAAAGCCTAAATCTCACTTCTAAGACTACTTGCACAACTCAAAAATCCAGTTGCGGCATTTTTGGAAAACCCTCCTGTAAATAAATTTTCACTTCTCAATTACCGTCTGTTAAAAACAGTTTTCAGTAATCAGTGATAAAAATAATAATTTAGTGGCATTTTAATAATTCCTATAATTCATTTCACCTTGAAGGCTCAGTCTCACCGTGAAAGTCCTAGATAAAATAAAAATATATTTCCGGTTGTTCAAAAAGTACTGACATCGCAATATCTCACAATACCCTGGTGAGTTATCAGTCCACATGTTCACACGTCGTTGGTCAGGAGTAATAAAGTGTTAGTTATCGAATTTCGGGTCAGCATCTTATAGTATACTTTGATGTTTAAAGATATGATCTTTGTTTCCGTTTTTCTGAAACCCTAGCTAATAAACTGCGATCTTTGTTGTCTTGAAGGGAGTGGTTCAAGGACCGTTTCGACCTTATTGTGAACCCACGATCTTTTAACACAGTCCACATTGTGGCTTTCTAAATATTTAGTTACTCGTGGCGAAATTTTCACTGTCAAGTGGAAGTAGTAGCGGGTCCTTAGTCAACGGAAAACCAGTGGATCTATTCTGCATTTATTTTAGCAAAGTCTTGAGTCGGTTTCCTCAGGTCAGGTTTATAGTGAAGTGGAAAAACGATAAAAATAAATAGGCACTTTCATGAAGAGCTTTTTTGTTGATCGACTTTACTCGAAGACCCTCTCATTAAGACTGCAAAGCCCAGGGTGTTGTACTAGACTTACTACTGCTTACCGTCTCCTACAGCGCTTCATGTAAATTTATTTAGATTTTTGTGAGGGGTAACTAAATGAGACGAGATATAAGCATTTCAATTATACCTTAACGCATTTTTGACTAGCTTTTGACATCGTCGATGTTTGTTAGTGCAACTAAGCGCAGCTAATTTCCTTTCGAAGTTCATATGACACTAATCAAAACTGAAGAAACGCTTGTACCATTTTAACTTTCAGTTACGTAGGAGTTGTAGTGTATCATTGCATGATGACAAATCATTCTCGAAAAATGCTTACAGTTTTGGAAGTATATGAGCATTAAGTTCGAAATATATTCTTCAGTGTCCACAACAGTAGTGCGATACAAACTAGAAACGCATCAAGTCCAAGGGTCCCAGGACTAATATAAAACGTTCATAGAGCAGCTAATCGTTCAGTTTTAGAAGGTTTAACTCTTCATATATTAATTGCAGCATGCGGAACATTAAGAAATCATTCTGGACTTGATACATTAACGTCACCTCTAAACAGGTCAGAGAAACACAAAGTACACAGTAAAAGACCTTACAAACCAAAAATTTTGCTTCAGCTCGTTCTTTGTCGGTAAATTATCAACATTTTAAACCTACAGCCAGTATAAGCAATATCTGCAAGTCATTCAACCGAAGACAAGACAGAGACTCGTGATAAAAATAGAGCTGTGAATACTTTTTGAGCCATTTAAGCAGTTTGAATATCCTCTCACAAGAAACTATGTCCATACTCTTTAACCCTTTCCACTTACAGTGTTCATTTCTAAGTTCTGTTTAATACGGTAACTTAGTAATGATCAGTGTAGGCAAGAAGGTTTATGAACACCGCAATGCATCAAAATAATCCATCATCGCCCTTCTATATTGCACGGGCTTCAGAATCAAATCTTTCGGATGGGATATATATGACCTGTTCCGTTGTCGGGGAATGATGTGGTGGGAAAAAAGAAGCGAAATTGTGCTATTTTACTCATTATGACTTTTATTCAGTATTACTTCCACTTTTTATTTGTGTTGATTGCTCACTGTAATATTTGTTCTTTTCCAGTGTAACATTTTATTTTTTTATAACAATAATTTAGTTGAATACATTGTCCATTTAAGATGCCATTTTCTTGTATTAAATTGACGCGAACTGCACTCAGCATCACATGCAGCATGTGGCTTGTTACAACTCTGGGTATTTTTCATATGTAGTTTCACGAGGCTTAATAAGCAAAACGAGCGTACAATCAGTACATAATGAGTGTATTTTAGATTAGAGTGGTCGTGTTTTGGGCTAATAGATCTTAATTTTTATCATTCTTGATGTTCTTTCTTTGCGTCATATAAATTTCAATGATTCCTTTTTGAGTCGTCAGTAATAAACATTACGAGAGTAAAAAGAGCCTTTCCGGTTACTTTGAAATAGTCTAAGTAGTGCCAATTTTACCTTCATTTACAGTAACATAATGAGTATATTTTATACATGGAATCTCAGAAACACTAACGACAAAGTCGGACTACTCCCTGGCAATGTTATCTAAAGTTTGAGCAGAACTGCCCAACTGCATGAGAGAAACCATTTATATAACTGACTATAAACTATGGTTGTGATATCATCTTTTTCGCTGAGCTTATAATATACTTATTTTTGACGAGGATTACTATCATTACTCACAAACATCTTATAGGTGCATAAGTGTTGTGAGGAAACCATTTCGTGTTTCTTCAAAAATGCAATAACACAAAAGCTTCAATAGTGTTAGCACTATATTTGCCACATTCGAAAAAAGAGAGTAATAATAAAAGAATAGTAATAATAAATCAGGTTTTGTGTAATTGAGAAGAATATTGGATTGAGTTTTAAAAAGTAAAAGAACAAAATAAGGGAACAGAAATAAAGGAGACGTGAAATACGCAAATAGTTTAAAAGGCGTATTTATGAACATACAACGAGAATAAACGACTATGTATGAATCGTCAGATTAGTAAAAAATAAAATAGAAAATAATTAAGAAAAAATAAATTATTATGGCAGTAAGACATGACGCTGGAATAAATGTTTGTGCAGTCATAGTTTGGAGTGATGCTATGAAAGTATCAATTAAGTGAAAAGGATAATGAAATATCAATATGTATGAGTCATGTATGCATAGTGAAGATAAAACTATACTGAGAAGTTAATTTAAGTGTAATATAAGTTATTGTCTTAATTACAAACTCCGTAAACGTCAGAATAATATTTATTTAGATGGAAAAAAGAGCGAGAAAAGAAACGAACACCTAGTGAAGGGGTTCAGCCATGATAATAATAATAACTGTGTAACGAATGTCGACCCCTGAAGTAAACCAATAATTTAGAAAAATAAAATGAATTCTTTAGTACACTCGGATAAATACACGTAGATTTATGTAATAATATACAGAATGAAACCGGATATTAGTATAAATATTTGTGCAATAATAATTAAGAATGATGCTATGAAAGTCACAATTGATTTCAAAGGACAGTCTGGAGTTAAATATGTTTGGAAGGATAAGAGATCAAAAGAATATCTAGTATGTCGGGAACTAATGATGATACTAATAACAGTAATAATGATAAACACGAACACAAGTAGACTTCATATATTAAGATGAATAGAAATAAAATAAAATAGACGTGAAAAGTTTCAAAGGTTTTATTTTGCTTTTCAGGCAATTAAATGGATGACGGACCTTGTTTGTATAAATCATTATTGAATACATTGATATTCAATAGGTGACATAATCCACTTTCGGAAAGAAAATCGTCAAGGAGACTTTTGAACCGGGTTGTAGTTTCACTGCAACGGAGGTTCACTGGCAGTCTGTTCCACATGGTTGAGTAGCGAATAAGGAAAAAATTCTGACGTAAGTTTGTGTGGGTTCTTGGAATCGCTAGAATATTCTCCTTATTGCGTAGATTGTGGGATGATATCATAAGGTATGAAGGGGTGGATACCGAAGAGTAGGAAATACCGTTAATAAGCCGGTAGATAAAGACAAGATTTAATTTGATACGTCTGATCCAAAGAGGTTCTAAGTTGAGTTGTTGACATCTTTGGTAATAGTCTTTGTTATCGGAATACCCAGAACAGCTTTAGTGAACCTTCTTTGAACACCTTCAATTCTAATCAGATCAGTATGTCTACAATTACTGTAAACTAAAATACCATATTCAAGAATGGGTAAGATACATTTTCTGTATAGTAACAATCTCGATTCGATATTATTGAAGTTTATCATTATCAATCCGATGAGCTTTCTAGCTTTGGATACTTGAGATATAATGTGTTCAGAAAAGTTCAGACTGTTGCTATATCTTAAACCCAGGTCACGAACAGTGTTGAGAGGTTTGAGTGTATGTGTCTGTACAGTCAGATTTAAGTTAAGACAGCGACCAATGTGAATAAATCCACTTTTGTCAACATTAAGTGGCATATTCCACGAAATAGTCCATTCGTACAACTTGTTTATTTCCTCTTGGATTACCGCTGAAATATAGCTTTCTTTGGTGGGAGAAGAGAATGAATAAACTACTTTCAGGTCATCGGCAACAAGGAAAGGCTTGCCATACTGAAAAAGGGAACACACATCATTGATAGAAAGGAGAAAGAGTAATGGACCAACCACACTTCCTTGTATAACCCCACTGGTTACATTCACAGGTTGAGAGTAGCAAGATCCAAAGCGAACGATTTGGCTACGTTGTCCTAAGAAAGATTTGAGCCGAGATAGAAGAGGATTCTGTATGCCAAATGAAGAGAGTTTTGGAAGAAGAAGTTTGTGTGAGACACTGTCGAAAGCCTTACTAAAACCGTCGTAAAGAATTATCACTGACTGACCAACATCTCTTCTTTGGGTAATTTGATCAAAAAACTCCAGGTGCGATGTGAAACATGAGCGTTTAGTCATAAACCCGTGTTGGGATGGGCTGATCAGACTAGCCGAAAGTAAAAATGATAGTAGCTGTTTGTGGATGATTTTTTCCATGGTTCTTGAGAGCACGGATGTCAAATTAATTGGCCTATAGTTAATAATATCACTACGTGGTCCTGTTTTGAATCTAGGGGTGATAAGGGATGTTTTCCATACAGATGGATAGGTCCCATATTCCATAGATAGATTGAAAAGTTTCAAACAAAATAGTGGAAATTCTCTACTTCCATATTTCACAAATGATGAAGGTATCCCGTCAGGTCCACCATCATAAGACTTTTTCAGGGCAGCTATGGCCTGCTTGATGTTGGAGGGTGTAAAATCAAT